TTTTTATGATCCATGTTGTCAACAATGTCCACCAGAGTGACTTACGTATAGTCTGATTGGAATCGTTATCATCTTATCTCATATCGTCTATAGATACTGACCGATAATAACAATTAATGATAATAATATTATATTGTTATATGTGTTTACTGTTTTAAAATTTTGATTGTTTATTATATTTAATAATTTATTCATCAACCATTATTCATCACTAATAATTATACATAAAGAACAATGTTTAATTGCCAAGTTTGTGATGCTAAATATAATTCGGTGTCTGGTTTAAATAAGCATTTAAGAACAAAACATAAAGATACACCGAAAATTAAAAAAAATGTATACTATTGTAATGACTGTGATGGATCATTTGATTTAAAGTCCAATATGATTAAACACACGAAGACTCATTTATATGGTCAGCATAGCAATATGTTATGTTCCTATACAAATTGCACAAAATCATTTGCATCTATAGCAGGATTAATTGTACACTTAAAATCTCATAACATTAATGTTGAGTCAACATTGTTAAATTTTAATTCTATAGAAGGTACATCAATTTATAATTACATTATAATATATCTCTTAACAATCACTACTAACTTATTGTGTTTCAGTGATTAAGTTTAAAGTGTTTGTTTTTACAAAATTCAATTCAAAACAAACAACAAAAAATCTGTTACAATGACCCACTTGTAACCTCCTACTGTACATCAGGGCGTCACTAACTTACAATATTCTTTCTTTTTTTTTTCATATTTAAGTTGAGATATTAATATTAAAATGGTGGTGGTTGTGAATAATATTGTAATATTCTCATCTGGAACTTTTTTTCTGAATACCTTTACTGTGGACATGTATGAATTTTAATTACAGATCTTCATTTACCAAGTCTGTCCGTCACTATAGCCTATAGGGAAGTATGGTTCCTTATAAAATGTTCAGTATTAATATTGTTTAAGTGTTATAGGTGATTTAAAAAAGGTTAACATTTCCTGTGATTTGGCTGAAAGTATTGGTTTTTACTGTTGATGTTACTGTGGACATGTATGTATTTTTATAATAATTTTTCATATACTGAATTTGTCAGTTATTTAAATGTAACTTAATAACTAAAAGAATATAGTTTAATTAAATACAAATTAACAGATTTTAACAAATGGAAAAAAAATATAGAAGACAAACAAGAGTGCCAGTATGTCAAGTTGTCATCAAAAAAAAAAACTTTAAGTAAAGAGTATGTATACTATTTTTGCCACAGATCATTTGAACCAAGAACTTCAAATAAAGTAAGATTGTAACGTGACTAAATTATACATAAAATGTACCTAACCAAGTTGTGATTAATATAATGAATAATTAAACAGGGATACAGATGTACAAAAAGTGGTGGTTCCGTGAAAACTGGCCATGTTTGCCCTTCTAACATGAAAGTACATATACACAATAAAGAAATTAATGTTCGATATTATAGTACACACTTATGGCATACGAAGGATATAGGAAAACTAAGATTGTGTGATGAAGATAGAAGTAAAATTGCTGGTAACTTATATGAAGCATTAAACAAATATAAAAAGTTATTTATGTTCGATGATAATTTAACTTTTTTGATATTTATGTAAATAAAATAACCTTTTCCCCTTTCAATATTTTTTTACAGGAAAGTTATCTTTGGGTGTACCAGTCAACAGAATTTTGCAAGATGTTAGATCATCAAATGTTGAGATGGATAGTATTAAAAGAATTCATTTGCTAGAAAAAAAAGATATACACAATATTAAGCGTGACTTTAATATTTCATATTCAACAAAAAAACACCAAAATGATGCAATAAGTGTAGATCTTTGGGTAAAAGAAATGATGAAAAAAGGTGATGAAAGTCCAGTTTTATATTATAAGCAACAAGGAATTAATGATAATTGTGTTCCATGCTTCACTAAAAATGATTTTTGTCTTGTAATAATGACTCAATTTCAATCTGAATTATTATTAAAATTTGGAAAAGACAAAGTATGTTTAGATGGTACACATGGACTAAATGGGTATAACTTCCAACTGTACACTGTAGTTGTTGTAGATGAATACGGAAATGGATATCCCGTAGCCTTTTGTTTTTCCAATCGATCCGATACTACTGTGTACAGACATTTTTTTCAGTGTATCAAAAAGATAACTGGTAATATTAATGCAAATATTTTTATGTTCGATGACGAACCGGCAGGCAAACAGCTATTGTGTACTTGGCACGTATTAAGGAATTGGGCAAAAAATTTAAGAAAAATTCACTCGAATGAAAAACAAAATATTGTATTCAAAACTTTAAAGGCTTTACTATATGAGACAGACGAAAACAATTTTTTGATTGAGTTGCAACATGTATTAGATGATCTTCTAAATGATGAAGATACAAGAGACTTCGGAAATTACTTTAAGACTACATATTCATACAGGGCAGAAAAGTGGGCCTATTTTAATAGAAAATATGTTGGTATTAATACTAACATGTACCTTGAAGCACTTCATAAGTCTATAAAGTATTGTTATTTAGAAGGAAAAAGCTGCAAACGTTTGGATTTATCGATTAATGCTCTAATGTCTTTGGTGAGAGACAAAAGTTTTGAACGAATCATTAAAATTTCCAAACAAAAAATGTCTTCTAAACTGACACAAATTATTGCAGCTCACAATAAAAGTGAAAAAATTACACCGGATATGGTTGTTCAAGTTGATGGTAATTGGTTGGTTAATTCTGAGGCAGACATACATATTCAATATAGAGTCGAAAAAACAACATTATCATGTGATGATTGTGTATTACGTTGTAATGTGTGTAGAATATGTGTACACACTTATAAATGTACTTGCATGAATAATGTTATTTATTTTAACATTTGTAAGCATATTCATGCATGTGCTAAACGACAGACCATCATAACAGATATAGAAACAGTACAAAATGAAAACCAATCTTTTCCATCACCATGTGATTTAGCTGTCGATAATGGATTTTTAAGAGAACAAGGACAAGAACAATTGTTGAACAAAAATATAAAGAAAAATAACGAAGAAATTAAACACAAACTAGAAATGATACTTGGTATTCATAGTCGAGCAAATATGAATGAAGAAGATCAAATGTATATAATTAAACAGTGTGATAATATATTGACAACATTAGGAAAAGAAATAGATTTTAAGAAAACATCAAACTTACAATTGGCTAAGAAAAGAAAAATTGAACCCCAAGCAAGATTTTTTTCAAAAAAAAAAGTACCAAGTCAACATCCAACTCTATCATCAATTGAGGGTACACAAATTAGGGAGTCATTGAAAAATTCAACTGATGTTTTAAATATAAGTACTACACCAATGTTTGATCATTCCTACTTATAACCAATATTTAATTTAAATTTAAACATTAGTTACTATTTTATTATTTTATTTAAATTTTTTTAGTTATTTTAACATTAATTATTTTATGATGTATCTATATTTGACAAATTACCGTTATGGCGTTATGTTATTATTTGATTTTAATTTTTTTTGTAATTATTTTAATTTATTTATATGTCGATATAATATACATTATACATAAATCAACATTTACTATTTATATTAAGTGATTTATGAGATAAGATGATAACGATTCCAATCAGACTATACGAACGTAAGTCACTCTGGTGTACTTCGTTCGGTGCATTATACGCCTAAGTAGTGAACCGCGAAAAGGCTTTATTTTGGATATTTAAGATGATAATAACCTCTTTTCCATTTATCGTGATGCATTGCATTTTACGCCTGTGTAGACAGAATTTTGGAAACTCAAAATCCGCGTCGAATGACAAATATCTGAGAAAAATCCGGCAATGGGTGTGCAAGATCGGGTTAAAGCTTTTGGTTATAGACAACAGGCCAATAGATCCAAAACTGTGACGAGTCTAACTCCCTAGTTCATTTTAAAAGAAGCGACAGGGCGTTTCTTTTGTCGTTGGATATACCAGGTCGATTTATTTGAACTAATAGTTGGGCTTTTGTAGATTTTAAGATTATCTGTTATTCATTCATCTACGTACAATTCAGTGATGCGTAATCGCGAAGTCATATGTAAATCACTATTCAGGATGATAAACGTGACGTCATAATTTGGGGAATATAAATACGGCTAAACATAAAAGTAGTTTTGACTTAGCGAAATCCCTGAATGTTCTACAAAACACGGCAGTTTCAAAAATTGACGTGTATGCTGCCCCAGGTAAATTTTTCGTTAAAGACCCTTAGTTCCACTAGATTTATGCGCAGCGGACAACGGGCTAAACGATAGTCGTATACTGAATGTCATGGCATATTGTATCCGACAATGATATTTAATACCAGTCCATTTAACCAGCACGTGTACCGTGTGAAGATTTCTCAACAAAGCAATAAGTACGCAATACATGGATTCTATGCAATAATTTGATACATTAAGTGACCATACATTTGTAAGACAATTCAAAGAAAGCCATCTTATCGATGAAGCTAAATCAGGGTGTAGAAATATCGTTGATATTGACCCTTACACTTTTAAATCAGAATCTGACACTAGGTCATAATTGATTTCTTACGCTCTAGGACCGCTATCCAGAGTCGTGGACACCCACCTTCACATGATGGTCTGATTTTTATTTATCAAATTCGCCAGATTTGAAGCTAAAATATACTTTTAAATGATAAGAAATAATGACACGAGAAAAATTACCATGGATAACTGACGACCGATACAAGACCATGAATACGATTAAATGACAAACAACGCCTATGATTTTTACACCTACGGGTATATGGGATATTGATGTGACGATTTGGTTTATAGGAATCTATTAGAACGTTGATGATGATCAGTAGTCGACACGAGGATGATATGGATTTACAGACTAAATGTCAATGGTTATACAAGATCTTGGGAGACCGATGGTACCAATAAATACACCAATACACAATGTATGGAAGCACGTTCAAAATATAACGAAAAAGTAGTACCACTAAATAGGTAAGACCAAAAAGGTTGGTGGTGGTGAATGATACCGTCGGATCATTTCCCAGATAAATAAGTATCAATACATTTACATGTACAACGTGAATGCGACTGTGAATCTACCTATATGTTTTAAAAATAAATTATTTGCTGTCTTCACTTATTTGTCACACCATTGTTAATTGATACCACGTACTTTCTCTTTTCCTAAAAATAATGTTTGCCCTGAACGCTCACATCAGACGGTGAACGGTTTCAATGGAAACAAATTTCGCAAGAGTGATCCACTGAATACTTAGAAAAGGATCACAATAAATTCACTACGATACTAGAGAACTTTAAAAGGCTGATAAAGATTTGCCTTCGGTGGACTTTAAATATATGCACACCACCGGCTCAACATCAGCTACTGATTGGCTACAGTCCCAAATCTGCAGGTCCAATTAATGAAGCGAAGGGTACATTACGGCATTATAACTCTATCCATATTACGATGCCATTATTCCATGCGTAAGGCACGTTGTTAAAATATGAAGTGTGAGATAATGTGGCGGGCCGACTGCTGACCAAAGACTTGACGAAGCAGTTTAACGTACCTTTATGGCAGGACGAACGAGCATAGCGAGGCTGATGTGCAGGAGAATGTGATGTGCGACACAGGAGAACGAACAAAATTACATTTGTCAAGAAGAAGAGCAACCTTTTCTAATAGCGTCAACTGGTTGCTCTACCAACTTCACTAAGGTCATATCCTTCACGAAAGTGACCCTCAGGCAGGTGGCGTGCTCGGTGACGGTACTTCTGAAAGCCAGTGGTTCTTAATATTGATTTCCGCTGATGAGCAGCTCTACGCACAGCTGTTGCTGTCCAGTTTTTCCTAGAATCATCGAAAATGATATTTTACGAATGGATCTTCGCGGAAAATTTTATGATCCATGTTGTCAACAATGTCCACCGAGTAACC